GGGAGGGGGCGAAATTGCAAGAGCTGGGTGATATTTTGAAATTACTACAGGGATAGAAGTGTAATCCTAGTCTTTCACAACATCCATGACAACGTGAACTGTGATTAGCGGGAAACGGAGAAGATAAAAGGCATTGTAAAAGTAAAAAGCCTGTTGAACCTAAAGGAGGAGCAATATTAGCTGCACATGGTAAAAGTTCCCCATTTTTATCTTCTGAAAAGATTTTAAAGGTTTCTGTTAATCACAGAACAGTGTGTAATGAATGGTATCAGGAAAACTTAACACAAAGTGGCTTCTAAAGAGAAAGGAAAGAAAGGGAAGTCAACTTATTTATTATGATGAAATGAAATTATCTTCTACATCTTCCTTCCAGATCTGCTTCCCAAATCCATGTTAAGTGTCTGGTAGACAAATAAAATATCGTAACTAGATGCTTAACATATTTTCAGAGCATTGTACAGCCTTTGAGTAGCCAAGTTGTAATGGCTAGTCTGTAGCCAAACCAAGTTGTCTATGTCAGAGGTAAGTATTGCCCCAGCCCTTATGCTTGGACAGATTTCAGCACAAAGATTTGCCTGTTTTGCTGTTTTAGGGACAGCGTCAGAACCACAGGCTGACAGGTCATTTCAGAAGCTGTTATTCTTCCACTGCATATTTTTCCCTGTCTTGTTCCATATATTCTTTCTGAATAACATATATGCTCAAACCTTAAAAATAAAATTACATTTTCTATTTCTTTGCTCCAATTCACAAAAATTTTTCACTTTAAGTCTCATAAAAATTTACTCTTAAAAAATTCACACTTCAGAAATCACAAGAGAAGTTCTATTATTTCAGCAATGGCAAAAACAAAGTGTATGGATTCCATACCCAAGTTTAGGCTACCATCTTAAGAGGAAGAGTGGAAGTGCAGCCTACAACCAGTCTGAAGTCTTTCAGTCTTTCAACATAGCCCCTGTACTCTTCCGGTTGTACTGCAATTGTTTGTCTGAAATTGCAGCATCTCATAAAAGCTCCAAAGATGTGCATTGTGAGAGAAAAGAATGAGAGAAGCAGAAGTACAACAAAAAGCAATGAAAAATAGCAGTTTCTGAGTTCAGATAGACACAGAACAGAAAGTCAAGAACCTGCCAAGTCAGCAGTAAGCAGTGATGTAGTTTCTCCATGTGTATAATGGATAATCTTCCATCCGAGAAGGTTGTAATAATGACTAGCCAACAGCTGCTTGATGTATTACAGATATGTTAGGGAATCCTGTTGGACTGTGATATTTCCAGTCATTCAAGCTATAGTATCTTACTTGTGCAGCATAGGAAAACAAAGTTGTAGATGATTGTATGCAAATGCACAACATTATGAACAGTTTCATATGACACAACTGAGTGGTGATATATATCAAAAACCAAAACTAAGAAACAGAGGAAAACAACTAGATAGTCCAGAAGAAGCATACTAATAGTGTTTTCTCTACCAGTCTTGCAAAACTCTTATCTTCAAAAGATCTCATCTATTGTGTAAATAGGAATTACTTAACCACCAGTAAATCACAACTGAGAAATA